CTTTATATGAATACAAAAAGGAAATACAGCACCTAGTTGATTATGTTTTTCCCGATTGTATTTTTTTTTTTTGATTTGTACCAAAAAAGAGGGTCCTATTTTTGTTAGTAAGAATGGCTGACGTGAATGAATTTTCAATACATTTCTTACACTTAGAAAAATTAGTTAGTGTGCCAAACGCATGCAATATCCATAAATATGTTTGTCTCTGATTAATACTGATTAATACTCGTAATAGATATACCGGGTGTCTTTCAAAACTGTCTCACCTCTATAAAGGATTGATGGACATATTCTATTTTCAACGTAATTATTTTTGGTCACTTCGTTTTTCACCCAAAAGGCCGACAAATGTTAATTTTTAAATGGTAGTATCTTTACATTTGACATTTTCGCTTTTGTATTTTAAATTTTAGTCTAGACAGTCATAACTGTGTTCATAAGGAAAATTTGACTCGAAATGGTAAGTATGTGGTACCAAACTATTCGTAAAAAATGCAGTTTCTAAATATGACAATGAGCCTCGTTCAATTTGAAAAAATAGAGTTATGATTAAAAATTCGATTTGGGCATTTTTTAATCGGCCCCATAACCGGGCATTTTTTAAAACAACCCCAATATAGAAGCATTAAACACAATACCTCAGTATAATAGGCTCGATGTATTAGATACCCCGATAACAGAACAGGAAATAATGGCATCCATAAAACAGCTTAAAAACAACAAATCAGCTGGCTGTGGCGCAATCCCGGCGGAAATCTGTAAGTGTGCAAGTAAAGAACTTATTAGTCACCTTAAGGCTGTCTTCGATGTCATATGGGTAAGCGGAGAGGTACCTCAGAACTTTTGCAATGCGAATATAGTGAATATATTTAAGAACAAAGGAAGCGCATCAGACTGCGGAAATTACCGGGGAATTTCACTGTTGGCTGTCGGAGGAAAAATACTCGCAAAAATTATGTCAAATCGCCTACACCCACACATAGAAAAAATCCTTCCAGAATCGCAAACGGGTTTTCGCACCAACCGTGGCACAGTCGATTCCATATTTTCCATCCGCCAACTACACGAAAACTTTTAAGTTTAAGTAAAAGAGCAGCAGTCTAAATTTTATGTTGCATTCATCGATCTAACAAAAGCCTTCGACTCTCTAAACAGAGATGCACTTTGGGCAATTATGAAAAAGTTCGGAGTACCCAACAAATTTCTTACAGTGTGTAAAAGCCTCCATAACAACAACCAGTCAAGAGTGTCACATCATGGATCACTGAGCGACCCTTTCCTAACAAATACAGGAGTTAGGCAGGGATGTGTCTTAGCGCCTCTCCTATTCAACATATTCATGGCAGCGCTCTCCATTATAGTGGACAGCAAACTGCAGGAGAGAGGACTGGGCATTAGATACAGATATGACGGCGGTCTGTTTAACATAAAAAGACTCAGGGCAAAAACACGTACAAAATTCATCACAGAACTTCAATACGCTGATGACTGCGCTCTAGTTGCAAACACGTTACATCAATTACAAGAAATGTTGAACACATATACCTGGGCATACGAGCCTTTGGGCCTTAAGCTAAACATTGACAAAACCAAAATCATGTGCACACCTCCGGAAGATCATAACAATGCTATAAAAATCGGAGAAGAACTATTGGAATATGTAGCGGAATTTAATTACCTCGGCAGTTTGATTTCGGAAAAGGCCAATATCGATTCTGAAATTCAGCACAGGATTAGCAGCGCCTCAAGAGCATTCTGGAAATTAAAAGACAGGGGTTTCTACAATCATGACTTGAGTACAAAAACGAAACTTGCAGTGTACTGAGCAATTATAATCCTCACCATGTTATATGGGAGCGAAACGTGGGTGCCGTACCGCCGACACATGAACGCATTAAACAAGTTGGAACAGAGACACCTTAGACAACTCTTAAGAATACGGTGGCTCCATCATGTCTCAAACGTATCGGTCCTTGAAAAAGCTAATTGCGAGAGTATTGAAGTCATGGTTACAAAATCCTGCTTAAGATGGGCTGGTCACGTATGCAGAATGCAAGAAAACCGCATACCAAAAGCTCTGCTTTACGGTGAGCTTGTAGACGGTAAGAGGAGGCCGGGTGGACAACTCAAAAGGTACAAGGACATTTTCCACGAAAACTTAAAGGGGATTAACTTGCAGAATCATTGGGATGAAGCAGTTCACAATAGAACTCAATGGAGAAGAATTGTAAACTCAGTTAATAGCGACAACCAAAAAGTAAAGAGGCAACAAAGCAATGAGATTTTTGAATGTCCGGAGTGCGGTAGGCAAATAACATCACGTATCGGGCTTTTCAGTCACAGAAAAGCTCATGAAAGAAAACGCCTTGCGTGACCATCTTTTGATGCGTGTCGAATACTCCTCAGCGAGTAATGGCAGTATGGTATGGTATGGTAATCGGCCAGGAAAAGTCACGAAAAACATTAGACGATCAAATCTATATTTCCAAGGCTCGTTGATTAAAAATTAATGATTTTAACACAGCAATGTCACTCTAGATTGAAATTTAAAATACAAACAAATAAAACAAAAGTTGACATATGTTATGAAAATATTTATTTTCCATAGTATCCATGTTATATGTGTATTTAGGTAAATTCGAAAAATATAAAAAATAAGATAATGTAATAATGTTTGTAAAAGTAATTCATAAATGTTTTTCTACAAGATAAAAATATCGATTAACCTTTGCCTGTTTTTAACGTAAGAATTCTTTAAGCCCTAAATTGAAATGTCAATCCAATTTAAATGCAAAACTCGTATTTAATTTAACAAATTTTCCGCATTTTCTCTGATAAATTTCAGTAAAAAGCTAAACGTTGCAGTTTTATGCCGTTTAATCTCTCGCCAAGATCAAATTTGTCGTTTCATTGAACGTTATAAAGCAAATAGATTTCATAGAAACTGAATAACAAAACAAATTATAAGTTTTATTAATTGTTTGCTTTTCTAAGTGAGAAACTAATTTCACGTTCAACGGAATCAAAAACAAATTAGACAAATTGTGTTATCTCACTTAACCAGAATTATATCTCGCTCTATATTATTATGACTGAATTTGTTTTTAAATGGGCCTATTTGTTCTGTATGTTTTAATTTTAATTTATGTTTTTTAATGTTTTTCTGTAGCATCGTAGTTTTATTTCCTTGCACATAGCTACTTAAATTGGAATTTACCCGGTATAGCATAATATGTAGTTAAATTAACTATTGTAGTTTAAATCAAATTAAAACTTGATCCAAAAAGTTATACAGGGTGAGACAAAATTAATATTGAACATTGGTCACCTTTAAAAACATGTTACTCTTTTATTTTAAATGGAATACCCAGTATATTATTACGATATTCAATAGAGAATTCATGTCTCTTCAAAATACTATTAAGGTTGCCTACCTCTCAAACAAAGATTTTCCTAGATATTTTCATTTACATGATTTGATCTGAGTATAGATCATCTATACTCAGATCAAATCATGTAAATGAAATCATATATATCATCATATATTATTTGATCAAATCTAGGTGGCTGTGATATGGTCTGACGTTACTTTAACATAGCTGTTTAATCAGTCCAACTTTAACAACCAGTTATCATTTTGTGTCAGTTAAAACAAAAAAAAATTCTCAGAAATTCGCCGAAAATGCAAACTTATCCTACATTAGAGAGAATTGATATGATTCTATTAGTTGGTGAATGCAGTGTGCATTCACCAATTAATAGAATACTTAAATGCTCCTGATTTTATCTAATCTGGTTTTTTATGGGGATATGTTAAGGACAGTGTTTACAAAACTCGACCAGCTATTGTCAACAACATGAGAGAAATTATTGTAGCTGCTTTTCGAGGTAGAACTCCGCATATGCCTTTTAGAATGAAAAGATTCTTTTGAAAAGACATTTTTTTTATGCAGTTAACAGAAAAGGAAGCATTTTGAGCATTTGATTTCATCTAGCTAATTTTTGTCACATTATTATAGGCTTATATCTAGTTTTAATTCTGTGATAATTAAAATATGTTTTAAACGTGTATCTTTTTATTAACGTTGAGTATTTTACTCTACAATGTTTAACTTTTGTTAAATTAACAAAAGGCACAAATTAACTACAAAAGGTATATCACACAGCCACCTAGATTTTTTCAAATAATAAATATCCACTGAGGAAAAATCATAAAAATTAAAATATCTAGGGAAACCTTTGTCTGAGGAGTAGGCAACCTTAATAATATTTTGAAGATATGTAAATTCCCCATTGAACACCGAAAAAATATACTGGGGGTTCCATTTAAAATAAAGGAGTAACTTGCTTTTAAAAGTGACTAATGTTCCATATTAATTTTGTCTCACCTCGTATAACTTTTCGGGTCAAATTTCAATTTGGTATAAAATACAATGGTTACTGTAATTAAATATCAGGCTATACAAAGTTAACTAAATTTTAGGTAGCTGTTATCGAAATTTAAAATTTACTCTTCATTTTTACAAAATATGAGATATGTCAAAATCCTTAGATTTTAGGTATATGCTTCTTTAATAAAACTCACATTTATTTTTTTCCTAGAATCCGAAAATCAATTAATACATAGAGTGTTCCGTTAGAAAAAACACTTTGATATGTAACTTTTTTTGGGGATACCCTGTAGAACTCTCTATGTTTTTAAAAAGTGCTCTGAATTAACGTACATATGCTCACAAAATTTCATTTCAATACAAACTGTCGTTTTCCTTGGGACCTCCGCGGCGTATGAGAGGCGCCACCCGGTATACTTATTTACTTTTATTACGATACTTACTTTGGCCCCTATTACAAGAACTTAAGGGAATAAACGTTCATTTCAGTCCCTCAAAATCCGAACGGACAAAAGTGTAATTAACATGGCCCGATAACAATTAAACTCCCCAACGATAAAAGGGTCTCTCAACTCTAATGCATGTTTCTCTCTTTTATATTTTTAGTGACATCGACGGTATCTGACCCGGTGCCAGGTTGGTCCGACAATCTCTACGGGCCCTTGGGGATTCTCTTATCCTCCAATTGCGGTATCCTACGGGTTGTTCGAGGCAAAAGCTGGATAAGGGCCGACACAGTTCCCGGAGATCTGGTTATCAATGCGCTGTTGTGTCTAGCTTGGGAAGTTAGTAGGAAATGGTCGGTTTGTATGATGTCGTAGCGGTATAAAATAAAAATTTGCATATTAATGCGCTTACGTACGTTATCGCTTGAAAATGCACACGACTGTACTATTTTTATTCTATCTGGCTACAGGCGTAGACTTTTTAATACGAAGAAGTTTGTAGTTTTATGTTTATTTTTTAGGATCGTTAAAAAGTTATTTGATTATAAACACCGTTAAATAGTTACGATGTAGGTATGTTTTGTTGTCTTGAAACATTTCAAACAATGTTTAGAGAATTAAAATAATAATACATCAAGCAAGGAACATCCAACCACAAACCTAGTATTTAGTATGATATTAGTTAAGACAAGTAACATTAACTTTTCATGCTTCAATTTTAAACTGAAAATGCTGAGGATTTTTCCACTGAAATACAAATCTTTAATAAAAATAAAAAAAAAGAATTTTATGTAAAATCATTATCGTCATCATAATTTAGCTTATTCCGTCCACTGCTGAGCAAAATCCTCCCTCAACTCTAGCCATTTCTTTCTATTTTGAGCCACTTGAATGCATTTTTCAGCCACTCTCTTAATATTATCATCTGTCCATCGACTAGGAGATCGCCCTCTGCTTCTATAGGCCTCTTGTCTCGGTCTTCATTCTACAAATCTCTTGTCCACTGTCCATCTGTTATCCTAGCCATATCTCCTGCCCAATTTCATTTAAGATGTAAGACAGACATCACCGCATGACTCTTGTTCGATTTCTTATGGTATGATTGGGTATTTTCGAGGGTATTTTATACCTAAGTGTAATTCCCAACATGGACATTTCCATTTTCCGTTGCATGACCTGTATTCTATGTATGTTTTTTTTTGTCAAAGTAAGTGTTTCAGCTCCATACGCGGGACAGGCAACAAAGACTGGTTAAAAACCTTTCTTTTTAAACATAGTGAAAGATCATATTATCTCAGTATATGATTTAATTTACCGAATGCCGTCCACGACAAACCTATTCTTCGTAGGATTTCTTGCGTCTAATTATCCCTTCTAATACCGATCTCGTGTCATAAGTATTTATATATAAGGTTTGTTCCAACTAGCATTTCGGGATCGTTTCGAAATCGTACTCGAATCGGTTTTCTTGCACTTTGTTAGCATGCGCGGACTTCGAATAATCTCGTGACGGTGCAAAAAGTATCAACGTTGGAACGCTTTGTGGATTGTTTTCGGGACTGTCAAAAGTGTCAAGCGTGCGTGTATCGATCGGTTTTTTGTTTTTGTTTAGAATTTCATAACATAGCCCTATTATTTTTGTTTGCAATTTGCAATAATAATAATTATTATTCTTGAAATGGAGAATCAGAATCCAGTAATTGTTGGTACGTGTTGTTTCAGCTGTATACTCACTAACTCACTTACCTATCCTCTCTTTTATGATCCTGCTATGCGTAGTGTCCTGTTATTTCATTGCAGTGGTAGAATCTTTGAACATTATTTTATAAATAAAAATTTGCGCCAGGAGGCACGTATAGCCGCCCATACTAAAAAATATGTTAATAAAAAGTTGGTAGGCAGTTCTTTTAGTTTCAAAGTAAAGGAATTTTTCTCATTTTTTTTTATCAAAAACTGCGACTTTGACTGATTTTGATGTTATTACAAATTTTGTTGCGAATATTATTCCTAATCTTAAATTGAAAACCGTGTTTCGCTAGCTACTGTAATTTTGGAGTTACGATTTTTTAAAATGTTTAACCCCCTCCCATACCCCTTACCAACCCCCCACCCCTACCAAAAACTAATGGCCAGATTCTCGGGTGCCACAGTACTTTTGTGCCAAATTTGGTTAAAATCGGTTTAGCGGTTTTTGAGTTATCGTGTTACAGACAGACGGACAGACGGACAGAGACAGACAGACACAGACACCATGAAAATATTTTGTATTTAGGTCATTTATGACCCAAATAACTTATTTTGAGTGAAATTAAAAAAAAACTCTTTATTTTGCCGATTTTAATAGCCTACCATACCTGTTGGTATGGTCGGCTAAAAATCATTTAAAATTTCCGAACGATTTACTCCATGCAAACTCACAAGCAAAAGTATAACACACACGTATTCGATTATATATATACGTAAAAAATAACCAAGACAGAAGCACCAGCCAGTTAAAAATCGATAATCCCTGCCAATATGCTTTAATGTCAACCCAAACAGTTCTCAATTTGGACCATATACCGAAATTACCGCTCTGAAATCGTAACTAAACGATCCCAAGGTAGGTTGGTATAGTCTGTCCAACGAGAAGATCCTTGACAGTGATAGATGTGTCTGTCATTTTAATTTCAAAGTAGTTTATTTTATTTTACAAAGAAATAAGTTGGTACAACTGGAACGCATAGCAGGAAATATTTAAAATTTGATTCACAAGTTGACAAGTAATTACTTCAAAATATTGTGAAAAAAACTGTATAAAACTGAAAAAATGTAATAAACGGTATGTGTTAATACAAAACAAACAAGAACAAGACACTACATACCAAAAAAATATAAAAAAGAACTATTATTTACTTTCAAGCTTTATGAAACTACCCGCATTTTGTAATATTCCACAGGAATAAATAAAACAACATAGGTAAATAAAACAAACTATTTTCTTAATAACAACACCTACCAAATTGTATACCCTAAAGGTTGATTAATTAACTTTAATCTTATTATTTTTAAACCAGTACCTTTTGACATTATTTTTCTGCAGTACTAAAATCCATTATTTACCTATCGTGTGATGTCGATATTTTACAGCTACTCCAGTTTTTAGTATGTGTTAAGTTTGATCCTTCTACCATATACGAGATGCACTTATCTACGACGAAATGGTATACAAACTTTATCAATGGCAACTTCATTGGTGTATAAGACTTTCTGCCTGGGCAGCGAGTATTAACCATAAACTGTGCTCTGGGTCTACAGTTAATTTTCACTCGATTTTTCCTCCACTTGACTTCAAAAGACACAAAACACACGTAATAATACGAATCAAAATGCATCATCTTCCAAAACGCAGGGTATTTAACAAAAGTTGACACAAAATTATAACCTATAATTTGGCAAGATTTTGACAAGCGTTAAAAATGACAAAAATCTAAAGGCGAGTTCATACGCATCGACGTCCGTTTGTCGTTCATCATTCCGTCAAACCAATAAAATTGAAATACGATCTGTCATTTTTTATATAAACCAATAAAACTGGTTAAAAACAACAAGACACGACGCATGACGGATTTATATTTAAACTCATCCATAGATAACTTAAAAATTATTAGAAACTTTTTTTAGTAAAATAAATAGATTGGTATGGGACGTCATCTGCTTTTCTTCTGTCATCGTCTGTCGAAATCTTACCTGAACAAAAAAAATTATATGCAAATAAGATCGTCCAATAATCGTCAAATCTCGGTTGGAACACATTTGAATTACTGCGCACGAGCGTGATCGTTCAGTGACGGTTCTGCTGCGGGTTGGAACAAACCTATAAACACTTGTTCCAAAAGTATATTATTAATGTTTAAATTACCACTCAGTGCTAGGTTTGTCATGTATTGTGTCTTTTTGCAAAATACCTACTAAAAAAATTAAAATCTAAAGACACAAACATATCACTGATAAGTATATGACCATGAATTTTGCAAAAAAATATTAGTGGTGGTCCACATCAACCACGTAGTTGTAGGTTATGACAAGGATGATACTCCATTGTCCTTTCTGGCCATCTCTCATCTCCCATTCTTTTTTCGTACCCATATCATAGTAACTGCAGTCTTCATTCAATGTTGTCAATGCTGTTATATACCCGCCCTGTTCTTCACGTGATCTCCTCATTCCTAACTTGTTGTATTGATATTCGGCATGCTCTTCTCAGAAAGTTCATTTCCACTGACTGCCGTCCTTCTTTTTTTATTTAAATTGCCAGCTTTATGCGGGACTGTATGTTAAGGTTGGCTCTACGATTTCTTTGTAAATCCTTATTTTTGTTTGGATTGATATTTTACTTGACCACAGGAGAAGGTCGATTACTTTTTTGCCTTATTGAACTCTGATATGTATATCTTTCTTGGAGTTTCCTTCAGATTTAATACATCCTAAATTCTTGTATATTCTCTGCGCCTTTTAATTTCGTGTATGTGTGTTAATTTTCCATTTTCTACTGATGAATTCGATTTAATGAGGGTTTTATTTTCGGCAACTGGATGATATATCATAAAAAGAAAGAAAAGTAAATTAACAAGAACTATCATTTCACTCGAACGTATAACATTATGCTCCCGTAACTTTTGTTCATAACAGACTATTACTGTCATCATAAAAAATAAATTGATTGTCTAATATTTGTCACTATCATTTATTGTTTATTTTACAATTTGGAAAGTTGGATTATATAGTGTCCGGCAATCGTGCGTCGGGCATTGTAGCTCCTAGAATAAAAAACCTGGATTTTTTTTAAGTGTAAACCTAAAGTATGTACAAGGATGTATTTCAGGAAAATATTTTAACTTCTATAGAGTGGCTCAAAAAAGTGATAGTGGATCGGGATTATTTTTTTTAAATGGAACACCCTGTATATTATTGCATTTTTGGCTTCCTTTCAGATCTCTTTACATATATATTCCTAAGATATGATTAAATATATTTCGATAGTTTCTGAGATTTTAATAAATAAATAAAAAATATATATTTTTGAACCTTTATTAAAAAAATTATTACAAATGCAAGACCTGTCCTATATAGTGGGGTGAGATGGCTGAAAAAAGTTTCACATCTGGCAACCAATGCGCCCTTTTGGACGCAGATAGTACATAGGTAGACGAGTCTAAAAAGCTCGGGACACAAATTTTTCTGGCCCTCTAGCGGTCTTGCGTTATAACTCAATTTTCCTTTCCGATATT